TTTACAGATTTATCAATGTATTGTATACGTATGTGCCTTTGTTTTAAGTATTGACAAATTTTTAGTTTAGGATAAAATAAAATTAATGGTCTTAAAAATACATGTAAGTTTCACTTTAATAAATATCAAGAAATTATGAAGTGCTTCCTTTTTGGTAAAAAAAAAGAGAAAGAAACGAAAAATTGGCAAATTATGTGTAAATGACCATTAAAAAAACATAGATATTCGAAGTTGACGTTTGTTTGTATCCATTTATGAAATATGGTGAAAATATTATTCTGATACACGAGTTTTAGTAATAAAAGGAATCTATTTATCTAGATTCTTTAAAAAATTGTTGTCACAGTAAAATGTATGAGCCCCAAAATACTTAGCAAAGAAAATGAAAAAATTCGTCATATATCAGTACATCAGTATAACAGTGAAAAGAAGAATGAAGCTATGAAGTCTGAACTGTACGTAATGTATCTAGAAACTTTACTATAGGAAGATATAAAATACGTTTGTATGTCCACCAGTATATAAGTTTAGTATTCGTGTGTGTTGCTGTGGCATGGATAAATAAAAATTTAGTATTTGACTTGGCAGCCAAAATGTGAAATATAGAATAGTAACATTGTTATATGCTCTACTAAAAAACAAATAATAATGAAGGTAGTTCTCTTATATACTCAAACTAGGCAGAAAACTTGTATAATCCATCGAGAATGAAGAGACTTTTTAACAATTTTGTCATATTGATGTATCGATATATGCACTGCAACTTGTTTATGTTGGCTTATAACATTATTATCTCTTTTTTACACGTTAAATTAAAGCATGGTACACCTATAAGAAAACGTTCAAAGGTGTTAAGATTTATGAACTAATTGTAATTTTGTTTACATTAACGTGTTCAGTCTTTAGAAATGTAATTTGAAGTTTCTTTTTTACTTATTGTATTTGGTTAATATAATGTATGTATAGTATCCTATTCAGATGTATTGTTCGTTATATCATTGTATTAATGTATAATGAAATTATAATACAAGTATTAATGCAAGTTGAGAGATCCGATTCAAATGCATATGTAGAACATGACAGAATCGTATTGTTGACGTTTCTGATCGTTAAATAATTTACAATATTATCTGTATAAAATGCTCTTCTAATAGATCAGGATAAATGTGAAAGATATGTTGGAAAACTGAAACCTTTTTTTCTGGCACGTCTTACATTTAATGTTCCTAAAAGAGCTATCTCATTGTATAAGACATTTTGAGTAACAATTTTCTGTGTTATACATCTCACAATAAGCTAGAAGTATACACTTAGTAAATTGTGCTCATTATTCATAAATATAAAGCGAAAGTTGAAAATTAAGGAACCATAATATGATATGATAATGTAACAGTACATTCTCAATAGT